GACCACGACTGGTGCGTGCACAGGGGCCTGGGCAGGGTGGGCACGGGGAGAATCCTCTGGAAAACGCAGCAAAACGGGCGTCAATGCCCTCGGCTGGAGCTTTGCTGTTTGCAGAGTGTGTCATTGTGCAGAACTCTGAAGTGCACACAAAATGTCAGCAGGGTCTCCTCACAGCTCAGCACACACAACAATCCTTTCCCAGCCCCAGCAGCAAGGGCAGCGCTGCAGCCTCAGCCCCAACAAGTGCAAGCAGCAGGGAATTGAGGAGAGAATCTGGGAGGATGGGCCTTCATCACCTGAGGCTGCAATTGCACAATGAACCCAAGGTGGGAATGGAGCAAAACTGATCCCAGTGTCCAACTCCTGACCCATCTTGGCTGGAGCCAGGGCCGGGCTCTTGCACTGCCCAAGGTGATCCTTGGAAGGGCTTTTAATGAATCCCTGCTTTATTCCTTTATCTCTGCCCAGCCCCTGCTCCAGGAGCCTCTCAGGCATCAACGTAAAGTCAAATTTGAGATTAAAGGAGCTTTGTAAATTAGGACTGGGAACTGTGTTTAAGGGCTGGAGAAGCCCCAGCAACACCTTTCTGGTGCTTTGTGTGGAATTAGCAGCTTGTCCTTGGTGCTCTGTGTGGAACTGAAGCATCTCTTTGGTGCTTCCTGCCTTGGGATGTGCTTACAGAGCTGCTGCCTTCAATGTGGGGAAGGAAACAGATCCTTGAATTGCCAGCTGGGAGCAGAACTGTGGGACACTGCTGAGTGGCTGCTGTGCTCTAACAGTCCCACAGGAAAAACCAGACTTGCTTGGAAAAAATTTCTTGCATTATTTTTTGGCTGTGAGGATGGAGAGGCCCTGGCACAGGTGCCCAGAGCAGCTGTGGCTGCCCCTGGATCCCTGGCAGTGCCCAAGGCCAGGCTGGACATTGGGGCTGGACATTGGGACAGTGGGAGCTGTCCCTGCCATGGCTGGGGTGGGATGGATGGGTGGGATTTGAGGTCCTTTTGAACCCAAACCATCTGGGATTATTTCTCATTTTTATTATTTATCTAATTTCTCATCTTTATTTTACTATCTCATTTGTTTGCTATTTGATTTTTTGGAATTCCACACTTGAATGTTTTCATGAAACTTTTCAAGTGGGTGGAATTTAAATACTGTTTTTTCACACAGGGAGAAGAAAATTGAAGGTCTGAACTTTGTCAGGTGCTTGTCTGCCTACCATGCCCCTATTCTGACTGCAAAGCTCCATGAAACAACTCTGGCTGTGGCTCAAGAGGTTAAATTTTCCTATCAGAATATTCCACTGGCTCTCTCTGTGTATATATATATATTTTACAGCTCTCTGAAGTGATTTATGCTCACCTCTGCTGAGTTTTCCTCAACTGGGCAGTCTCAAGGATGATTTGAGACTCAGAGGCTGAAAAAAATATAGATTTTAACTTTATGAGGTTTTTATGAGTGTATATTTTAATTCTCACCCATTGTGAATCAAGTTAGAAATGTGTTTCTCAGTTGCTTGTAATGTTACTTAAAAATGACAAAGGGCAAACATGAATATTTATTTTAAAGTCTCTCTGCTAAACATTATTCATTGTTTTTTGGGTTTTTCCTGTGTGCAGGTCAAGAATTTACGCTCAGGTGTTTCTCGAGCTGCTGTGGTCTGTTTAGGGGATTTGTTCACCCACCTGAAAAAGAGCATGGATCAAGAACTAGATAATGCAGTAAAAGTCCTTTTGCACAAAGCTGGGGAATCCAACACTTTTATAAGGGAAGAGGTAGACAAGGCACTGAAGGCCATGGTTAATAATGTGACTCCAGCACGTGCACTTTGTTCTCTTATAAATGGAGGGCAAAGGTAATTCCTGTCAAGACTTTATAAAGAATATTGTGAATAGAGTAAATTTATCAAATGTAGGCTTTTTAACATCAGAGTACAGTAGACAGAAATTTGAAATCAGCTGTCCTAAACCTCTACCCAGGGCAATGTTTGTTGGCATAAATTGAATTAAAGCCCCTCTGTTCCTTTCTGTGCATTATGGAAGAGGTTGGCTGTTGATTTTGGAGCTTGATGTTTTGTCTGGCTGTTCTGCACCACTTGAGTGATTTTATTTTTTGCTGTTACTGTGTATTCTTGGGGAGCTGCTGTTCTGCTTTGCCTGGTAAAGCTGACATAATGTTCTTTCTTTTCCTCCTTTGCTCTGCAGTCAGTTCCTGCCCTGGCCAGTTTTCAGCACCTCTCTATGTCAAAAATTGATGTATAACTTAGAGTTCTCTATCTGCATCTATCTTGCTTGATTCCTGCTCTCTAGGCTGTGCCTTTGTGTCTGCACTTTAATTTCCTTCTCAGTGCTGGTGGCCATTCTTTTCTGGAGTTAATTCCCTTCTTTCCCTGGCTCTGTTCAGTCTGTTTTCCTTTTCCATCCTCATTCACTGCTCACCACATCTGAGCTGGGTGCTTCCTCTCCTCTCTGCCAGCCCTTGGTGACGTTTCCCAGGCTCCATTTCCCTTCATGGCACATTCCAGGTGCTCCATCCTCAGTCTCCCCACAGATTTCCTGCACAGCTCCAGTCCTCAGAGTTAGTCTTGATTCCAAATGTTGTCTTTTGTTTCCTGGGAAGCTGGTTGTTGTGGGATACATGGATTCTGTCTCCTGACAGCTCTGCTGCAGTTTCCTGCTCTTTAAACTGAAAGGCAAAAATCAGCCTTGGGATTTCTGTTCTTTAGGAATTTCTGGGATTCAAACTGACTTGGGATGGATGTCCCATCCCTGGGAGTGTCCAAGGCCAGGCTGGACAGGGCTTGGAGCAAGCTGGGATAGTGGAAGATGTCCCTGCCCATGGATTCATGGTCCCTCCCAACCCAAACCAGGCTGATTCCATGATTTTGTGGATTTAGGAGCAGCAGTAACTGCCCATGGTTTTCATTCAGCAGCAAGGGAAGTGCCCTGTTTGGGCTCTCCCTTCTTGGCCCTCCTGGTCAGAACTGTCCCTGTCAGACATCCCCACCTTGCCTGGCAGGTTCAAACCCACCAGCTGAGGGGTTTTCTCTTGGCATTTGCCCCCTCCACTCTGTCAGTTTGTAAAGGTTTTGTGATTCCTACGGCATCAGAACTGAGCTGGGAGGCTGAAAACAGCATTTGGGCACAGATGAATCTGTTCACAGCTCAGATTTCCTAACTCATGGAGTACAGGATGTTTTTAATGGATAACACATCAGGGCATGGCCTAAAGGTGCAGCTTTTCTAGGCCTGGCTTTAGGAAGCTCTGGCCATGCCAGCAGGAAAGCTCCTGGAGCACAGGGCAGCTCCAGAGGCTGTGACCAGGAATGTGGAATTACCCTTCAAAGGGGAAATTTGTGTCTCAGTACAAGGTGAAAAGGTTTGTTTGACACAACTGCAATTCCACAAGAGATGTTCTCTCTAAATTGGGCTGAGTTGCTTAAATTCACCCCAACATAATCCTTCAATTATGGGGTCACTTATAATTCATGAGACCTCTTTAAATGTCCCTGGTTTCTGCTCAGCTCCTTTCAAGGCTGCCATGATCATGACTTTAATGCTGGCAACCCTGACTAGACAGAAATACTGATTATTCACCAGCTCCAAAGTTGGGTTTGCCTTTACCAACAAGAATAATTCCAGTGGGAGGTGGCCCTGCCCATGGCAGGGGTTGGAGCAAGGTCAGCTTTAGGGTCCCTTCCCAGCCCAAACCAGTCTGGGATTCTGCTAGTAGATCCATGATCCAAGAGCAGGATTCCAGGGGTAGAGCTGAGAGGGATTTTACTCCAGGAATTGTAAAACCCTGTTTCTTACCTGTATGCACCGTGTTTAACTCGGAGGTGTTGTGTGCACACAAATGTTTTCCAGCTGTTGCCATGAGCAGCTTCGTGGAGTGAGGTCTCAGCCTCACAATTCTTGTTTTCCCCTTGAAAGTGCAGCAGGAGTTAGAAATTATCCTCAAAGTAGCATTTTTCATCCAAATATAAAATTGGGGGCGTTAGAGTTTGCAGGATTTTGTTGTTGAGCACAAGTGGGAGCAGCAGAGGCAGCAGGATTTAGATAAAAGGATCATTTGCTGCACGGGTTTGAAAGCTGATTCTGGCTGTTCTCTGCTTTGCATCAGCACAGGTGTTTATTTTGTACAGAGCAGGGATCATGAGACTCCTGCAGGATCTTTAGAAGTCGACTGAACACTGCTTTAGTCAATTTTACAGTGATAGCGAGTGCCCAGGATGTGTCTCTGAGCACAGGGGTTGGTTTTTTGTAGAGCTCATTGAAAGAACAGTCATATGCTTTGTAAAACAAAATTATTTGAAGGAAAACTAGAACTGAAATTGTAAAACCTCCCTGCCTGTATCCAGCAAGAATAATTGTAGTGGAAGGTGTGGCAGGGGTGGGCTCGGAGGTCCCTTCCAGCCCAAGCACTCAGGATCCCGTGCTTCCAGGGGTTTGTTTGGCAGGGGGGAGGATTGCTGGGAGCAGCCCCTGCAGGAGCTGGCCCTCAGGTGTGTTTCCCTCCCCAGCCACCTGCACTCAGCCGTGAGGAGATGCACGGCGCAGCACCTGGGGGACGCGGTGCAGCGCCTGGGCCCCGAGCGCATCCTGGGGGGAGCCAGGCCCGCGGCCGAGCGGCTGCTCCCCGCCATCGCCAGGTTCACCCAGGACAGCTCCCAGCAAACACGGTGAGTGTTCCTGCAGGAGCCACCCCTGGGGCTCTGCACTGCAGCACAGCCTCGTTTAGGATGGAAAAACCTTGGTTATCGGGAAGGGTTGGATGAGGCCTGGAGCACCCTGGGTAGGGAAGGTGTCCCTGCCCCTGGCAGAGGTGCGAGGGGAGGGGATTTCAGGTTCCTTCCAACAAACCTTTGAGTGCAGTGGTTATCCCAGCAGTGGCAGGACTGTTAGGACAGTGCCTGTGGCAGGAATCACCTGGATAGCTCTGGCACAGCCTGGCTGCAGGAGGAGAGGGGCTCACAGGACGTGCTGTGCACGGGGAGGATGCAGCCACACAGGGAATGCTGTGGGATCCACACTTGGATCTGATCCATGGCTCTGGCTGAGGAGGCTGGACCACCCTGGTTAAATCCAGCTGAAGGTGAAGGCTGTTCTTATTAATTTTGTCAGTTAATTAAAGTGACTCTTGAGCACATCCTCTGAGGGAGGATGGGAAAGGGTCTGGTTACTCATGTCAACAACAATCTTCGAGTTATGGAACCACTGAGCTTGGAAAAGACCTCAAATAACAGTGACTGGGCACTGCAAACCTCCCTGGGTACTTCCAAGGCCTGAGCGCCCTTTCCATGGGGAAATTCCTGCTGCTGTCCCCCCTGAGCCTCCCCTGGCCCAGCCTGAGGCCGTTCCCTCTCCTCCTGTCCCTGTTCCCTGGCAGCAGAGCCCGACCCCCCCGGCTGTCCCCTCCTGCCAGGGACTTGTGCAGAGCCACAAGGGCCCCCTGAGCCTCCTTTGCTCCAGGCTCAGCCCCTTCCCAGCTCCCTCAGCAATTCTCCAGCCCCTTCCCAGCTCCCTCAGCAATTCTCCAGCCCCTTCCCAGTTCCCTCAGCAATTCTCCAGCCCCTTCCCAGCTCCCTTCCCTTCCCTTCCCTGGACACAATCTCCCTGCACCTTTCCATTTTGGAGTGCCACACCTGTAATGGCCAGTGACAAAGGCAGTCCCTGTTCTGGATGTCCTGGTGCTCTCCCTGCAGGTACTACGGGCGGAGGATGCTCTTCATCATGATGGCTCATCCTGACTTGGATAAAACCCTGGAGAAGTTTGTGCCAGCCAAGGATTTGCCTTACATTAAGGAAACTGTTGGCACTCTACGAGAGAAGGTGTGTGGGAAAGGTCTTGTGTAGCTCCTGGGGCAGATGGAGGTGTCCTGGGGGCTGTTGGGTGCAGACAATTCCAGTACTGCAGCCACATTAATTCCCTGTGATTCCCTCATTCCATGAATTCCTGCTGTGCCTTTGTGCAGGGCCTGGGGGAGATGCCCTTGGATACACCCTCAGCCAAAGGAAGGCGTTCCCAGACTGGAAATGTTGGACATTTGAGGTCATCCTCCACTTGCAGAGATGCTCCCATCATCCCAGACAGGTAATGAGCTCCAGTGCTTATCTGTGAGGAACTTGGCCAAGGAGGGAGCACAGGAACAGCCACACAGGGCTGGGAAAGTTCAACAGCCCTGAAGGAAAAGGCAACTTGGCCTGTTCCAGAGAAACTCTTCAGTAGAGGGGCTGGTTATATTAAAATGGCTTTGTGCATTTTGAAGTTAATTTGTCTATTGACCATCTCCAAAATACACACAGTACACAAAACACCTGGAATTGACTGTTTGGGATCACAGAACCATGGAATGGTTTGGGTTGGAAGGACCTCAAAGCCCATCCAGAGCCACCTCTGCCATGGCAGGGACACCTCCCACTGTCCCAGTGTCCAAACTGGCCTGGGACACTTCAGGGATCCAGGGGCAGCCACAGCTGCTCTGGGAATGTAGATCCAATGGATCCATCTCAGCATCATCCAAGATGTTGCTGTTCAGACTCATGGGAAAACCATTCCTGTTGGAGACACAGCACAAACCACTCATTCATACACAACTCTGGACACCAAGGGTTTAGTTAGACTCTAACTAAACTCTCAGGGGTGCTGAAGGGTTCAGATCATACTCTGACCACTTTTAGTTTTATCTTCTTATAGGTTTTATATTGACCTTTTTTAGGTCTTGAAGATACAATAGCAATTTTTGGGCTCAGATAGATATGAACAGAATGACCTTATGGATTACCCCAGGACATTCCAGCTGTTATTCCATATCATCTGATGGATGCCCAGATGAGTACATTTGCACTTGAAACACACATATCTATATGTTCTGTGTATAACTACATACAAGTACAGTTATTTCAGTGGTCACTGCCCATCCAGGATATCCCAGTAGTTCACTGGGTGTGTGACTGGTAGGACTGGAGCAGCCCATGGTAGTTAAATCAGGCAGTGGCAGTGACATTCAGCAGCCAGGGTACCCAGGCATTCCAGCATTACAGGCTGTTCTCACCCCAGCTCCAATCCCCCTGAGGTTCACAGCACATTTCTGCATCACCCAGCAGGTGCAGGCAGGCCCCTGAGCAGAGACAGCCCCGGGGATGGTCTGGCTTTGCTCGAGGCAGGATTCATCCAGCCTTTCCTGCCGTGCCCTCGTGTGCACCACAGGGCCTCCCATGGTTATTGTGAGACCCCAGACCAGCATTTGGCCTCGAGAGCAGCTCACATTTCATGGATCCAGTCATGGATTAGCTGGGATACAGTGTCCATGGTTAAGGCCACCCCTTGGGCTTGTGCCCACTTAGAGGTGGTGTCTCTTCCCCAGTGATGTGAGGCCTCACGGGCCCACCAAGCTGGAAATAACTCTCCCTTGTCTGCAGCTCAGATCTACCTGGGACACTTCACTCCTGCAGCCTGCTCCAGCTGTTTGCTGTGATGTTCCTCACTAGCCTAGACTAGACTCAGGCACAGGATGGACCTCACTCTCAGCCCCCCTACCTGGCCACTGATGTTTTCCCATTCTCCAGCAAGATCAGTTTCCCTCTGTGTTTCCAATTGCCCTTTTCCCACCTCTCCAGCCACTCCCACAGAGTTTGTCACCATCCCCCAGTGCAGAGGGAGTGTGCTGGCCACTTCCCTCTCTCAGGGATGTCCAGAGCCAGCTGGAGGCTTCCAGCCTTGTCCTTCAGCAGCTCCCCATGGATTTCCTGCTGGTTCCACCAGTGAGGAGTGCCACATCCCACGCTCTGCTAGCTGGTTCTGTGCTGGGGCCTCCTCAGCAGTGTCACTGGTTAAGGAGGTGGGCACTCTGAACTCAGCAACCTCCCCCTGTTTCCAATCAATCCCTTCCTGCCAGGAAGGAATGAGATAGGAGTAGGTGTAAGTGGAAAAATAACATTTTATTAACAAACAGCCAACAGGCAGGGGGGAAATGTAAATAACTGCCAGATAGCAAAGTGCTAAATTTAATGAACTCCCCAGGAAAAGAAGAGACCCAAAATGCTGGAAATAGCCATTACTATCAGGGATGGCCTCAGGCTTTGGGACAAAGGGATGAGCTGGTGTCAGACCCCCCTTGGGAAGGCAGGAGCCTCATGGAGCAGTTCCAACAGCAGCCAAAGGCCTGACAGCTCAGCCAGGGTCAGCCTCCTGCCCACAGCCAAGCTCCAGCGCTGGGGCCACGCGGGGCTGTCCCTCCCTGGCTGCTGCTGCCCACAGGGATCTGCTCCTGCTGGGATTCTGCAGACAGCAGAGTTCATCCTTAAGGCAGCTCAAACCCTCTCACTGCTGTCCCTCCAAGCTGAGGGGAAAAACAAAAATGAAAAGAGAACCCAGAAACGGAAAAAACATCTTTGGTGGAACCAAGACCAGCCCACAAAGCCAACACCACACAGAGAAATCCCTCAAAGAGCCCGGGTGAGGGGACTTCACAGACAGACAGGAGCACTATGGATCACCCCAGGACACTTCCCTGTGTCCTTTCTGGGAGGGGACAGGCCCTGGCACAGGCTCTGGCTGCCCCTGGATCCCTGGCAGTGCCCAAGGCCAGGCTGGACATTGGGGCTGGAGCAGCCTGGGACAGTGGGAGCTGTCCCTGCCATGGCAGGGGGGCACTGGAGGGGATTTAAGGTCCCTTTAACCCAAACCATTCCATGGTTTGTGATTCATTGAACTGAAAAAGAAGCACCCCCAAATTTCAAGCAAGCCAAAAACTGCATCCAAGAGTTCAGAGGGCTGTGACTGCAGTGTCTCTTCAGGACCAGGTTTCTTTAACACACCCTCCACAGTCCTAAATAATAACTGATTCTACATTTACTGATACATTTTGATTGTTTATTCCATTCCCCATCCAAGCCTTGTGTTCAGGAATTAGGAGTGAGGTAATGACTGCCTGGATGGTCTGGAAATGCTTACCTGGACAGAGAGGTGATCCCACAGGTTTTATAATTCTCTCCATGACTCTCTAATGAGATCAGGTGCCACAGGAAATTTGTTTCTAAATATTCTAGGAAGAGCTGCTGGGTTTTCACCTCAGCATGGAGTGTTGCTGAGGTAACACCTGGTCTGGGGTCAGTCTTTAGGGTACTCTGGGAATAAAGAATTAACCTAAAGTAAGTTTTGGGGGGGTTGTGACCCATTGATGTAAGGGAAGTTCCCAATTGTTCCTGGTCACAAAACCAGCTGCATTTGGAGCAGAGTGGACGTAACACTTTGTGAACAACAGTTACTATTAGATGATTTATTTTTAATTCACCACATTTAAGGTGAAACCTTGTGTTTACTTCTGATACTTGCACTCAGATGGGAAGAGAATGTGTGGGATGAGCCTCCTGTTCCAGCTGATGGAATAACGATTCCCTTTCCCCCAGGGACGGCACGGAGGCCCAGGAAGCCCCAAGGAGGGCAGCTCCTCGCAGTGCCCTGGAGAGTGAGGAGTATGTCAGGGACATCGTGGGGTTACTGAACGCCAAAGATTTCCGGGAGCGCATCAGCGGCGTGCGGCAGCTGCTGCTGGACACGGAGAGCAGCCCAGCCCTGGTGCTCGCCAACGTCGTCAGGGTAACTCCGGGAGAAGGATGGGATTCAAAGGGCTTTGGAGCCTGACTGGAAGTTTTCTGAGAAAAGTCTTGGGTCCTTCTTGGAATAAGGATGATTGACAGGGCTTGGAGCACCCTGGGATAGTGGAAGGTGTCCCTGCCCCTGGCAGGGGTGGAATGGGATGGGCTTTAACATCCCTTCCCATCCAAACCAGGCTGCGATTCCATGATTTCTGGAATCTTGTGTGCTGTTACTCATTCCATTCTTGGGTAAATATCAAAATATGGAATAGTTGTGAAGAAAGCAGAAAGGATTAATGAAGAACTGTAAAACTGTCTCTGAAGTAGAGTTAAAAGTTTTTGTGTGGGAGAGGGTAAGGAAAGTATTGTGTTAAATTTATTGTGCTAAAGCTCAGGATGAGGATCCTGTCCAATAGGAAAGGGGCTTCTGTAGGAGAAAGAAATGTCCAGCTGTAAATTAAAGATATGTACAATGAAAGAAAACCCAGGCTTGTCCTCCAGCAGCGCCGTATCTTTGTATGGAATGATGGAATTCTGCTGTGGAACCTCCTGGTATCCGAACTGTGGATGGGTTTGAAACCTTTCTGACATTCCCTGTAGTGAACAGAGCCATGTTTCCCTAAAATTACTGTCTGGCAGGAAATCTGAGTGCCAGTGAGAGTTGCTGTGCCTGGAGTCCCTTGCACTGCAGGGCCTCAGCTCACATTAATGCACAGGATTCAAACAGCAAGTGTTGCTTGCTCTAAACCTGATCCCAGGTATTTGCACATCCCAGAACCTCAGGATCCCAGCGTGTTTGGGTTTGGAAGGGACCTCACACAACATCTGTTCCCAACCCCTGGAGACAGCAGAGCCATCATTTGCAGAGGTGGACAATGCCAGTGTGACACTAAAGCAGGTGATGAGCACCTCAGCTATTGATTCCCAATTCCATGAGTGCTTTTGGATGCTTTTCCAGATCTTTGACGCTTTCAAGCCTCGCTTACACGACTCCAACAGCAAAGTGAACCAGGCAGCTTTGGAGACCATGCACAAGATGATTCCACTGCTCAAAGACAATTTATCACCTGTGATCAACATGTTAATTCCTGCCATAGTGGACAACAACCTCAACTCCAAAAATCCAGGGATTTATGCAGCTGCCACTAACGTTGTCCAGGCCCTATGTCAACACTTAGGCAAGCAATTTACTCTCTTAATTTGAAACAGTTTTAATTGTTGTGATTGTGTTGTAAATTGAAAGTGTTACTCTTTCCAAGAGTTTCATAGAGTTGCTACACTGTGTAAAAAATCATGGGTTTATTCTCACCACACAAATCACCCTGGTATTGCCCAGTAGTGCTTTGGTTATTTTTCCATAGCATTTTCTTATTTACCTTTTCCCATATTGGGTTTATTTCCAGATATTTTAATTTCCCATTTAAGAATTTAACATGTTTTGCTCTTTGCCTTTAGACACCTCCCTGCTGCTGCAGCCATTCTGCACAAAAGCCCAGTTCCTGAGTGGAAAAGCAAAGCAGGACCTGACAGAAAAGCTGGCTGGTAAGGTGTTGTTCTCCTTCTCTTGTTTGCTTGCTTGGGTTCTCTTAATTAGGGAAACTAATTGCAAGGTGGCTCTGTACCTTCCCTTCTGTCTCAGGAGGCTGTGCAGCACTTGTCACATTTCAGCTCTTTAATGGAGCTATTGCTGACAAAACAAAGGATTAGTATTAGTGTTTTATAGTCAGATGAAAGACCTATAAATACCTGGAATTTATAAATAATTATAAATATATTAAGGATTTAATTTACAGTTAAATACCTCATATATTTAAATACCTTAAGGATTAACATTTATAAATAGCTTAAGCATAGAGTATTTTTAACATGCATTGTATTCCCTTTCCCAGTGTTCACTCCTTCATGCTCTTGCCAGGAATCCAGAGTGGTTTGGGTTGGAAGGGACCTTAAGGATTATCCCATCCCATCCCTTCCCATCCCTTCCCATCCCATCCCATCCCATCCCATCCCATCCCATCCCATCCCATCCCNCGGCCCCGTCGTCTCCCGCGGGCGCTGCCGGGCCTCGGGCCCGCCCGAGAGGTGAAGTCTGCCGAGCGGGTGTATCCCAGTATCCCTGCTGTGTCCTTGTATCCCCGTTTTCTGCGTTGAACGGCCGCTGGGCGAGTAACGGGCCCGCGCGGAGCCGCTCCGCGCCTCGCGGTTTGTGACGTTATTGCTCAGACCGGGCCCCGGAGAGGCCCCGATCGAGAGGAAACGGCCTCAGGATGGGCCAGGGGGGCTCAGGGTGGACAGCAGCAGGAATTTCCACATGGAAAGAGTGGTCGGGCCTTGGCAGGGGCTGCCCAGGGAGCTTTGGAGTCCCCATCCCTGCCGTGTCCGGGGAAGGCCTGGACGTGGCACTCAGAGCTCCGGGCTGGCGGCGAGGTGGCCATCGGGCACAGCTGGGACTCGATGGCCTTGAAGGGCTTTTCCAGTAAATGATTCCGTGATTCAAACCTAATCCCGGCACAGCCGCGCTGGGCCCGGGCAGCGCCGGCCCTGCCCCGGCTGGTTCCAGCAGCGCCTTATCAGGGTGTGAGTGAGGCGTGCTGGGCAGAGCTCACACAAGGCTCCACATTCCTGCCCCTCTGCAGTTTCCCTGTTTGTTTGCCATGAGCTCATTCACATTTAGGAGCGGCAGTTTTGTGTACAGCACTCCTTTGCTGGTAACAGGCTGAATAATACATGTTAGCATCAATTATTTAATAGCAGTGTGTGTGTGTGTGTAGCTGTCTGGTACGCTGATTCAGTTGTTTAGCCTGTGTGATGTCAAACCCTTTGGAATTTAGGTGAAAAGCCCGGAATTAAGTTTTCCTGATGTTTCTTGGCCCCCATGCCCTCCCATGGACTTTTGTGACCTGGGCATGGCCTGTTGCATTGGCTGGTTTAAACCGTGGGTTGCTGTCAGGTTTTGAGATATGCTAGGGACCAGAATGGAAGACATTTGTCTGGAAGAGCTGTCAGACAGACTTGGATTCAGTTTGAAACCTCGTGTGCAGCTCAGTACAGCTTCTCCCTCATTCTTTTTTTTCCTCTCTTAATCCAGAGATGGCTGGATTTGGAGAGCTGGTTTTTTAAGATGGAATATGCCTTCTGAATCAGCTAGAGGGAGAAAACATCTGTTAAACATCAGAGTAACTTTAGGTCGTGAATTACTGCATGACAAAACCCATGGAATCATTAAGGCCGATCATAAAGTCCAGCCATTCTCCCCAGCACTGCTGCCAAGGCCACCACTGCCCCATGTCCCCAACTGCCAGGTCCACAGGGCTTTAAATCCCTCCAGGAATGGGCACTCCAGCCCTGCCCTGGGCAGCTGTGCCAGGGCTGGACAGCCCTTTCCATCAAGAAATTTCCCCAGTATCCAACATGAACTTCTCCTGGTGCAACTTGAAGCCATTTTCTCTCATCCCTCTCACCATTATGTCATTTTGTAATATCATATGTGAATTTTATAACTGTAAATAGCCTTTAAACTGTTTTTTCTGATGTTGGGGCTGCACTTAGTGTCACTCCCTGCTCTTACCCCTCGATTTTAGAACCTGCAGGAGGTACCCTCTGAAGTGCAGCAGCCTTTGAGTGATTGAGGTCTCTGCCTGTTGCACTGGTAAAGGCACAGTGATACTCTTTGATACTTAATGTTACAAAATGATGTTTTTTCTCAAAATCAGAGTGTCACTGCATGGTTTGGGTTGGAAGGCACTTCAAAGCCCATCCAGTTCCACCCGCTGCCATGAGCAGGGACACCTTTCTCTAGCCCAGGTTGCTCCAAGCCTGTGGTTGCCTAATGATGGAGGGCAGAAATCCTTAAAAAATCTGTTATTAGAAAACCTGCAGGGTGCACCTCAGGGACTCTTGAACATCGTGCCAAATTTCCTTGGCCTGATGAACTCCTGGGAAAACGTGAATGGGTATCCCAGGAGTTGAAGCTGCTGAGGATAAGGGAGAGAGATTTTTTCCTTTCTGGCAAGAACTTCACCCCAGTATATAGTGGTGTCTTATCCATGTCCTTGCTGAAGTGAAAGTAGTGGTCTGGGTGTTGTCTCTTCAGGCTTTCAGTGTGAAAGGACTCTGGAGGGTTCTGGGGTGGGGACTTATGCTTTTTCTTTTAAATCCCAAATGCATTTGCCACCTGCTCCGAGGAGAGCGGGAGGAACCAGGAGTGGCAGTGCAGCCTGTGAGGATGACAGTGCAACACTGTTCTTCATCCTTCACCCCAGCCAGACTCACAGCTGGGAGCTGTTGTGTCCTGCAGGGTTCTGGGATCCCTGAGCTATCAGGGGTTTGGAGGAGGCTCAGCTCAGTGTCCCTGCTCCGGGAGGAAAGGCCAGGATCAGCCGAGGCTCGGTGGCACCCAGCCAGGTCAGGCTGGCCTGGCACTGGCACGGCAGGGCTGGGCTGGGCTGTGGCTCTTGGCAGGGACATCACAGGAGGAGTGGGAGGAAGCAGGAGTCTGTCCCAAGGGGCAGGAGGGAGCACCTGGCACTGAGTGTGGGTGGGAGTGAGGGGCTGCAGGTCAGGGGCAGCCAGAGCATTTCTGTGGCCCTGTGGTGCTGCTGGGTGTGTTTGGACATCCCTAATGGGGACTGAGTTGGTGCTGACAGTAATTCTTGTCTTTGCTTTAGCCTGGTGTTGAGGGCACCTTTTAAAACCTGTTTATTTCATAAAACGTTTACTGACTTGTACTAAGTAGGAAAATTGAATGAATTAAGAGACATGGGTCCATGGTGACCATGGCACTGCTGGAGTAACTTGGACCTGATGGTCCCAGGCAGCTTTTCCAGCCTGAATGTTTCTATGGGATTTGAACATAATTCTTTATTTGGAATAAACTTCCAGTGGACTCCTGCAGGAAAACTGTATTGATTCACTTTTATACCTCGGTAGCTCCCTGTGACAGTTTTTTAGAACCCCCCAAGGATTTGTATGTGCAGATGTGAAAATCTGTGACAGCTGTTGATATATTTTATTGCTGAAGAAGGCTGATGCACGAGGCAGATGCCAGCAGGGCTGTGGTGCAGTACAGGGACCCCTGGAGCACTGGCACACTGTGAGCTCCCAGCCGAGCTGTGGCACAGGAGCGCTGAGCAGCGGTGTTCCCGCAGGATCCAGTCGCACAGCGGTGCCATGGAGAACGCGGAGAGCACGGAGGAGGAGCAGCCCACTGTGGGCAATGAGAGCGCGGAGCCCGGCGCCGAGAGCGCGGCCGAGGAGCAGCACATGGACTTCAGCACTGAGATCATGAGTGTCACCGAGATGGAGCAGTCCCCGGACAGCTCCCCGGACCTCAACGAGGACAACACGCAGGAGAGCGAAATTCCAAACATTGAGAGCTTACAGACAACAGATCTTGAGGCTGACTTCCCTCCGGATTTTGACAAGTTTTGGAAAGTAGTAGAGGACAATCCGCAGGATTTCACGGGATGGGTTTATCTACTGCAGTACGTGGAGCAGGAGGTTAGTACCTGCCCCTTTCCCCTCAGTCTCCCTGAAATAAATAAACAAAGAAAAGCTAAAGTCATGGAATTCCAGTGGCAAACGTAGGATGGCCATCAGGCTGTCACAGATGCTGATTTAAGGCAGCTGTCCTTGCCACTGTTGTCATTTAATCATAAAATGCCAGGATGGTTTGGGTTGGAAGTGACCTTTAAAAGCTGATTCCATGTGCAGGGCCACCTTCCAGTAGCCCAGGGTGTCAGTGTCAAAGTAACTCCAGGCATTTCTGACAGTGTTAATGACTGCATTTAAAATATCCTGAAGTTGTTCCTAAGGGAAGCACTGATTGTGCTCACTCTGTGTTTCCCACAGAACCACTTGCCAGCAGCCAGGAAAGCCTTTGACAGGTTTTTCTCACACTACCCCTACTGCTATGGGTACTGGAAGAAGTACGCGGACCTGGAGAAGCGCCACGACAACGTCAAGCAGTCAGACGAGGTACGTAGGGCCCGGGGCCAGCGCTGCCACCAGTCCCAAAGCCAACAATGACTGTCCCACTGCGAGTCATTGGGCTGCCAGTGCCTGCCCTGCACGGCCAGGGCTCGAGGGACGTGTTTGCACGTGTCACAGCTGTGGCATTTGGAGCTAATGTTCTCTCTCTTTGTTGGCAGGTGCGTTAAACCTCTACAGTTTGTCAAGCTTTGCAGTGCAAGCCTCTGTATTACACTGCAGCTTAACAAGTAGGGCAGGGCTTTTCTGTCACTTCCATTTATTACTCATTTTCAAAACAATATAGTTGGTTTGCTGGTCACAATTGCTCCATCTTATTGCATTTTTGGTCAGACGCTGTCAATGATGCTCTAATGGGTCTGTGCCCTATGGTCTGTACCCCAAAGCCTGCCCACACAACCTGGTCAGAATGCAGGGACCGCTGCGCTTTGAAGATCAAGACTCTGCACGTGGAGATCAGAACATTGCCATGTTCTATCCAACCTCCACCCGAATGGTAATGGTAGATTATTTAAACAAAATTCCAGTAATTAGTATTTCTAAGGTTCACCGGATAACACAGTGTTGCCTCTCTCTTAGGACCCCATTAAGGATTTGAAGTACAGTTCATGTTCTCTTCATAGGTCTATCGCCGAGGGCTTCAGGCAATTCCTCTTAGTGTTGATCTTTGGATACATTATATAAACTTCCTAAAGGAGACATTGGACCCTGCTGATCCTGAAACTAACAGTACCATCCGGGGGTGAGTTGGGAGCAGCCTGATATCCATACACACCACCGGGATCAGGTTCTTGTGTTTTTAAAAAGGGGAAAATTCATAACAACCCCATGTCACTTCAAGGATTTTTAAATTAAGAGATGGGGGAGCCAAATTCCGTAAGAATGGGGAGACAGCACAGTGTGGTACAAGGGGCAAAAGTTGTGGCTTGAGAACTTCAGACTGGATGTTAAGAAATACTTAGTGCAGCATTTGGAATCTTGGAATATAATTCCTTGGAGTTTCCAGGGTATGGCTAGGATTGTCTGCTCGCTGTGGCTGGCAGTGGACCTGCTTAAAGGGTTGGACTAAAGTTTGATCAGAAGGCTTCATTGCACTGGAATTGAATCTGAATCAAGCTGCAGAATTGCTGCACAGGTTTGAGGTGTTGCACTGCTGCACTGGTGGGTGTGGAGTCTGTACAAAACAAAAGTTGGTAAAGGTTGTGTATTTTTCTAATATCCTGTGTTCTGGCCAGCGGCTTTTGCTGTTGCCTTTATTTGTTCTGTTGTGGAAGTGCTGGAGGAAAAAAATGAGTGAGTTTTCGGAGTCTCCAGACACCTTGCTGCAGATATCTGAACACTTTGAAGAATGTAAATAATTATTATAAGTCTAGTTTCAAATAAATGAGGGTGCTCATAACATTTAATAAGAGTCAGGACTTTCCTTCCTTGTTCTGTCCCAGAATCCAGAAACCAGTGTAAAACAATTTCCTTTTCCAGAGCCTATGAACACGCAGTGCTGGCTGCTGGGACAGATTTCCGTTCTGACAGACTCTGGGAAATGTATATAAACTGGGAAAATGACCAGGGAAACCTAAGGGAAGTTACATCCATCTATGACCGCATCCTGGGAATCCCAACACAGCTCTACAGCCATCACTTCCAGAGGTAAAGGGAAAACAGGGAGTTAATGCCATGTGAGGGGTGGAAATACTCAGCACAAGATTTGGAACAGTTTTATGTGGTTACTTACTTCTCTACTTGGGCAGTTGGACTGATTGTTTTTGAGTACTGGTGCACATTTGAGGAATTTGGTTTTGAGTAAATTCAGAGGTTTTGTTGCGGAGTAAGGACAAGCCTTGGAAGTGTGGGGAAGAAGAGAGGATGTCTTTGAGGAATCAGAATGAGCAGTTTTGGACTTTAATAGCTGTGCAGTGCCCATGTGTGGAGAAGCACCAATTTAACTGACTGAAGAGGAATCCTGGTTCAGTTTCAGATGGTGGATTCTGCATTGGTAGGGAGACTTGAGCAGCACCCTCAGTTAAACTGCACAGTCTTCCCCAAAACTTCCACAGATCTCAGTGTGGGAAATGAAGTATTTCCTTTATAACTGATCTTGTCCTTTGCCATCTCTTTTCCATGGCAAGGGTTCT